CCAGTTTTGTGCCATGTATTGGCAGACACTGTGGAGGGTGTCAAGGCCTCCAGAACTGAGTCACAGTATGTGGCTCTAAAATGAGCACACACTAATCTTACCCTCATTAGTTTTATGCTACACCAGAGGGAACTCAACTTATGTCAGCTGACTGATATTTATTCAAGAATCTCTAAATAGAAGGCGTTAAATAGTGAAAAGTGCTATCAAAACTAGTCGAAATGAAACAAATTCTCTCCCACCAAATATCATTCCAAGACTGTCTGTCTTTTCATACTTGCCTAGAAAACGCTTAATCAAGGAGAGTGACAAGGGCTGTCTGATTCCCTCACTGGCTTTTCTTCAGGCAAATAAAAACTATGAAGAAGAGAGACGAGGCCATCTCTAGACACTGAGAACACACATATACACACACGTCTGTCCTTCACACTAGGAACAAATGTTCTGATCTACATGGGGTTTAACTGGTGAAATGCCTCCCTGATTTCTGGTGTGAAGTTTCCATACACCTAAGCTTTAAATTAGAATCTTGATCTTGTAGTTCAGAGCAATCTCCTTCAGATATGAGAAAGGGAGAATAGATGTGTTTAAAGCAGAAAAACCTAACTGACATTCTGGACTGGAAAAGATCATTAGTAGACACTTGTTCTGAACAAAGTGAAGCCTTAGGATCTGGGGACAGCATTCAAAGTGACAGCTTTGCACCCTCCCTCCCACGCAGGGAGTCAGTGGGAATGAACTCACACAATAGGTGTGAATAGAATCCAAGTGCTCTGGACACCAGCTGCATCACCTTCTGCACACCACTCTACACATCTTGGTCTCTCTGCCTGGATTTGTAAAATATCAATAATCTCTACATAAATACACCAACCTCAAGGTGATTAGGCAATCCAAAAGAGTTCGTGTATTTACAAGTTCTTAGTAAATTCAACCCAGAAAACTCCAACTCACTGTAACTGAGTCGATTCAGATTTATAATGACCACTCATCAGGGTTTGGAGGCTGTAAGTTTTACAGGTGACTCCCAGTCTTTATCTAAAGGAGTAGCTGGAGGATTTGAACTGCCAGAGGCATGTCACCTTTCAGTTAACATGTAACATGCTAAAGGCTCTGCTAATGGAGATCCCTCTTAGGAAATTCTCTCTCTCTCTCATTGCTATCGAGCTGGAACTGACTTACAGCTGACCGTCCAGCAATTTTTTTTAAGTTGTAAATCACATAGGAAGAGACTGTCCATCTTTTTCCTGAGAATCAGATGGTAGACCAGAGCATCAGAGAAATACCATCTTTGGGTTAGTAGTAGCAATTCTTTATATATTTTGTTGTTGTGTACCATCAAGGTGGAACTGACTCATAGCTGACCCTGTAGCAAGTTTTCAGAGGCAGTAAACTGATGGGAAGAGACTGTCCATTTTTTTGCCGTGGAGCAACTGATGGAGCCACACCACTTGGGCAGCATAATTCCTTAGCACTAGGCCAGCAGAGCTCTCTAATCTCGTAATAGAAATTGGTAAAACAGACAATTAGAAAATCTGCATGCAGTTCCTTCCATCAAAGTCCTAATCTAGTTGTTCATACACCTAAGTACTAGTTTTCTAATACAGTAAAACCTGTGGAAGTCAGAAATTGCGTAAGGGAAACTTGAGTACAAAAAGAAAAATTCAAACATTTTCCACAAATTATGAGTGACAAAAAAGGCAGAAAGCTTGTGAGAACTGGAAAAACAAGGAAACAAAGCAGTTCTGTTGAGTCCAGGGTCTCATAGGCAATAATGAAGGAACTAGTAAACAATGTGAGCAGTTCACCTCACTCCTAATTTTAAAATCCTTTCCTGGCATTCTCAAACAAAATTGGATTTACCGGTGTAGTGTTAAGTATGAAGAACTGATTTCTTTAATACAAAAGCTGAACAAAGGAACTAACAAAAAATAGTAGTAATGTTTAGGGAGGGCACACCCCTACCCCAATAGAGAGCTTTAGTCTAAATTACTTAACAAAGATTAGCCTACACATAGAAATCCCATTCTTGGAGGAGACTGCAATGCCAGAAGAAGAAACTTTAAACACAAAAAGCAGCAGAGGGGTGAGGCACAGAACAAAGTTCTGCTAATTGTTAGGTGCTATGACCATGGGACAAGCTGTTCCTGCTTGGTTCCCTCCCAGTGGACCCAATGTCTGCTTAAAGAGCAAGGGCAGGACCCATTCAAGTGGCTTAGGTGGGCTGCCAGATCATCTTGCCGGTGCCTAAATGCCACTTCCCCTCTCACTAAGGCTACCAGATGTACTGTGAAAAGTGGCTTAATGTATACTGTATATTGTGTAAATGTATACTGTCAGCATGTCTTTGGAGAAACTGAGTTCTGAGTTCACATTCAGGTTTCGCCATAAAAGAAATTAGTCAAAAGAGTTTTCTGATCAACTCATCCCCAGCCATCTGTGGTTTAAATGGGCATTAGCTGCATGCTCTGGAGCCCACACTTCTCCCTGTATTCCAGACCTCTTGGTCTCCTCACTCAACCCTAGCCCAAACATGGGGCCCAGTCAACAGGCCAGGGGTCCTCATAACTCCCTCCTCCTCAAGCAACAATTTTTCCCCACTCATCCACTCATCTGTGCATACTAGGTGGGCAGCACTGAAGGAATATGATGAGATAAGAGAAGACGACACATGAAGATGCTGTGAAGTAGGGTTGATTGCTGCAACCTGATGGCTAGCTCTGGACTGGATGGTGCTTATGAAAGCAGATGTTCAAAGTTTCCAAGTTGAACAGAAGATCCTTCAGCAACAGGGATGTGCCTGTTCCCTCAGAGTACTGGTTTGATAGGGATGGGCAAATCAGTAATTAGCTCTCTAAAAGGAGGGTATTAAAACGTAAAACATGCTTATATGCTTTCACTGAAGCAGTTGTTAGGATGATTTTAAGGTAGGGAAAAACAACTCCCACAATATAAATAAATCAAATACAATGTAAATAAAGCCTGTATGGAACACAACGCACATGCATGAAGCTTAATGTATACGAACGCTAAAAAGATGGTTGGTTTGTTTGTTTGTGTATGTATGTATGTATGTATGTATGTATGTATGTATGTATGTAACAAAGAGTTTTCTGGGACTAAAACTTTGGCTGGGAAGTTGAGTTCTGCTGAGCTGGGAGCCTTTTCCCTGGGGGTTGGCTGGCGCTGTGGTCACATAGCTTGGTGCTGACATCACCCTGGCCTGCTCACTCCCTGGGTGTCCCCTCCCCTAAAGCAGGCCTCTCTGCAGGCTTTGGACCCGGACCCGGTGGTGCTAAGTGGGGCTGGCCTCAGTTGAGATGGGAGGTCTGGTGGGCCTGCCTGTGATTACCCTACCTTCTCCTGGAAATCACTTCAAAACGTTTTTGAAGCACACCAAGCAGGCACTTAGCTTCCAGCCCCATCCCAGCTGTAGCCACGCCCTTTGTCCAACCACAGGAAAACAAACAAGGCTTTGATTCCTTTGTGTGAAAACCCAGGAGTTGCTGAAACTGACTTTAAGAAGGAAAACAAGAAAGTGAAACTACTGTGCACCACACACTGTTTACCCTGGCAACAACAGACCCAATCAGGAGTGGCCTGGAAAAGTCAGGCAGTTCCTTGGGCTGTCCTGCTTAGAGGCTAGGTGCTTTGGAGTCAGCCTCCTGGGTAAAAAATTCCTTCCACAGTTGCCCTAGGAAACTGCTTACCAAACTGAATTTTCCCTTGGTGAATGTAATTATTAACAATCTAGCCCTTAAATAAGGTTATATAGAAAGAAAGTGGCTTTTAAAACAAAGACCTTCTGTGTTAAAAGTCCTCCAAATGATGTTATTTATTTTAAAGGTTCATAATGTAAAGTTAAGGGAACTTTGTCGACCTAGGGGTAAGAAAGTACACCGCCAACCCAAAGGCAAGCAGTTCTAATCCACAGCTGCTCCATGGGAGAAAGATGGTCAATCTCCCGTGAGATTTACTGCCTCTGAAAACCTGTGCCGGAGATTTTCAGACTTGATGGTAAACAACAACAATGTAAATTTAAGAAGTTCTTGTGATGTACTGCATGGTGTTGGGCTGAAAACTGAAAGGGTGGCAGTTCAAGTCCACCAGGTGTTCCCAGGAGGCAAGCTCAAGAAGGCATAAGGCAATGGTGGCCATTCTCAGTCAGAACCCCCTCACAGGCAGTGGGTGGTGAGTGTGAACTTATCTTTCCCTTTATTACTTATATAAAACCATGCCTCCTGTAGAGCCAGCAGCAAGCGGAGGCATGGAAGGCATTCCAGGGGCTTCTGTGTGTGAGTAAGTTGACCCTCTGAGCCAGGGCTTGTTGTACAGGTGTGTTCATCATGAAAACATATCCACATGTACACCATCATCTTTGCACACTTCTGAACATACGCTAGCTACATCTCAGAAAAGTTTTACTTCTCAAATCAAACAAGGGGGCTCTGGGGGTTTAGTGGGAAGGAGCTGTGCTGCAATCCTGAAGGCATGCAGTTTGAGGCCACTAGCCTCTCTGCAGAAGGATAGGCAATCTCTTCCTGTGTGATGAACTGCCTCTGAAAACCTGCCGGAGGGTCAGCTATGGGTGGGTTCTGACTTGAGGGTACACAACAACAACAACAAACTAAACAGAAGACCCCACGTCTCACAAGGATGTACCAGTAATTTTGTAAGCATGTTCAACCTTCAGAGAGACACTTTCTCTCACACCTAGTACACAATAGCACATATGGTGAACACACTGGGCAAAAGCAGGCAGGCACACAGACTCTCTGAACTTAGTGAGACACAAATTCCAGTCCTGGAAAAATGGCCTTGCAGCTTCCGTTAGTTGATTCCTAAAACATTTCCCAGGTTGGTGTTTCAAGTACACACTTTTACTGTGTAAATGTGACAAGGGAGTGGAGGTGTTTGTTGTCAACTTCTCTGTACCACACATTTACAAATGCTTTAGATATGTTTGAGAGAGGAGAAAGATAAAAAGAGTGGGCACTCACCTATTTGGTCTTCAGGGATCAGGGACTCGATCGGCGGGTCCAGCTCCGAGCTCTGGGCCAGGTAGTTCTTGACCTGGGTCATGAACTGTCGGATGGTCTGCAGCAGGTCAGTGCTGGACACGTGGCACTCCTGGTTCTCCTGCAGGAAGCTGACATAGTCCTGCACCAGGCACCCGAAGTAGGTGCATTTGTCGCGGGACAGCTCGGCGATCCTCCTGACCATCCGCTTCTCGGGAGTCATGAAGGTGCTGAACACACCGCTCATCTTGCGAAGCTGGGACTTGACCAGCTTGGGCAGCACGAAAGAGCTGCTTCTCTTCTTGGACTTGATTGGTGGGGGCATGGTCTCCTGGTCACTCTCCCCCTCGTAGTCTTCCACGCTGCTGTTGGTGTCCACCTCGTAGCCGAAGAGAGGCATGCTGTGGTCAAAATCCAGAGAGTCCGAGGAGGAAGTGGAAACGCTCATGTCGCTCAGCCTCTGTCGGCCTCCGCTCCAGAGCGGGGACTGGGTGCCTGGAGGCCGCGACCGGCAGAGGGCGCCTAGAGCGGCCGAGGGCGGGGCGCCACCACCTGGGCCGCAGGCGATGAGCGGCTCCTCCCGGCAGGGTGCGTCTGCGTCAGGCGCGGGCGCAGGCTCGGAGCCCGGTGCGGGCGCGTCGGGCGCGGGCTCGGAGCCCGGTGCGGGCGCGTCGGGTGCGGCCTTGGAGTCGGGCTGGCCGCCAGCTGCGAGAGTCTTACGTTCGGGGCTCCACCGGCTGCCAACTGCGGGCTGGTCCCCTGTTGCAGGCTCAGGCTCGGGACTGGGGCCAAGCCGGTCGCAGGGTCCAGGTCGGGCCCCGGTCAAGGTCTTTGTGCTGCCTTCTGTCTCCAGAAAAGAAGCCTGCTTCTTGAGCCGGGGCGGAGGGATGGGCGTGGGTTTCGTTCCAGGCGCAGCTACGTGCCCGAGTTTGTTCTGGTTGACTGTTTCTGGCATGCTGGCTTGGGCCTCGGGCCTGGACAGCTGAGGGTTTGTGTGCAGACTATTAATAGTGGGCGGCGGGGGCCTGGGCGGGGGGGACCGAGGCCTCTCGGTGCCTTTGGCATCGGGCGTGCTCGCCCTGGGCCTCAGCAGGCTCTCTCCGAGACCCTGGCTGTGCACTTTGAGAAAGAGAGGATTGATGAAGCACAGGGCGCCTTTGCTCTGGCTGCACTCCAGCTCTGAAGGCGTCCTGGTTTTGATAGAATGTACTCCGTTTATGAGGCAGAGCTGATGAGAGGCGGGATGAGCACCGGCTGAGGAAAGAGGCCTATGGGGAGGTGGAGGGTTTGGGGGTTGGTTGTCAGCTGGAGAGCTCCAAAAATCTGAAAGTTATTATCAGTGAACACAAGAATGTAAATACAATACACTCAGGCCATTCCTTCACAAATAAAAACGCATAATCTTACAGTGGGCATTCTGCAGCAGAAGGTTTGATTCTGGGGTTGGCTGGTTTGTCTGGGTTTGCTTCTCCTCCCCCCTTTACTGCATTCTTTACTGGAAAGGGTAGCAAGGCTGCCAGGCCCATATGAGTGTCCAAAGGGCCCCAGGGCTGTTCACCTTTAAAGCCCTTGAGAAATGGCTTGGTGAGCACAGTTTTCTGTGCAGTTTTCTCACAGGTATGTTGGAAGGAAAATGAGACTGGATTCACTGCAGTATTAACTGGATAAAAGCCACCAGGGCTCCCAGCTTTAAAGAAACAGTCAATATACAAAACCCTACTGCCTCTGCCTTCCTTCCCTTCTTCCCAGCAGCTGGGGCCAGACAGCCAGGAATCCAGCTTCCAAGTTCCCTTTCCACCGGGCAGTAGGGGGTGGGGTGTTACACAATTTATACGACTTTTACATATTCAGCATTTAAATGCAGAAAGGAGAAAAATACACACTCATTAGTTCCATCAGCAGAAAGAAAAGAAAAAAAAAGATAGCAAACATATGCAAATGTTAAAGTGCTGATTCAAACCATCTATCTTAGTGGTTTGCTGTCCAACCTTCCCAAATCCCATAACCTAGCACAGTTATAAATTCAGCACTCCAGAGATCTGCAGGCTGCTTTCTGTGTATGCTTCCCTAGTCACCTACATTTCTACCAAACTGAGAAAGCCAACAAATGGCAGTGCTAAATGCTGTCTGTTACACTTCTTAGTTGGACCAGGTTTGTTTGTCTCTCTCTGGCTTTGTCTGGTTATGTTTTCTTAAAGTGTGTTCCCTTCCCATGGACCCAAATGATGGGGTTCCACTTCTACGTTGGGCTTGACCCACTTCCCACCTTGCCCATTGAAAGGACCAGTTATCAGAAACTCAGTTTCTGACAAAGTACAGTTAACTCCACCACCCGCTTGAGTGGTTTTTTTAACAAACAAACAACCCCCACCTGTGGTAAATCCCACCCTGATTGATCAACTGCCATAAAGTGGAATTCTTCTTCTCTGTAAGAGCACAAGGAGTTTTCCGCATTCCTGTATCCGAAGTAACCGATAAGATTCAAATAGGTTTCCAAACTGTTACCCTGAGCTATGGCTAGCCAATTGAAGGTGGACAAATACCCAAACTACTGTGGATGGCCAATCATGGCGTGTATCGTTGGGCAGGGGAGTGGCAGAGGTATAAAAGGAGGGGCAGACATCAATTCGGGGCTCTCGGCTGGATGCTGCTGTGTCAGCATGCGGGAGCCCGGGTTCAAAATAAACTTTGTTAATTCGGCTAATTGGCTCGGTGATCTTTTTGGGGACTCGCTCTGTTACACCCATGTTTCCAGCAAGGACTGGCACTGAAGTGCCCAGCCCCAGCCCCTTGGTCTTCTTCCCTTGTAGGTTTGCATGGCCCAGCATGGTCACCTGTGTCCACTGAGCGCTTAAAAATAGTGAAGGAATAATATTTAAAATTTAAAAAATTTTAAGGATAAAAACTGATGTTCAATCCAGTTACCAGAAAAACATTTAAGTATGCAAAAAACAACTTAGTTATGTGCATCTACTTTTTAAACTAACTTTAGTGGAATCTGAATGTGAGTCAAGGAAGTTATGTCTATATCCAGATTTCCTCCAAGTATAAAATGTAGACTGGATTTTTAAAAATTGTTTTTGTTGTTGCTAAGTTGTTAAGCACCATCGAGTCGCAGGCGACTCATAGCAACCCTATGAACAAAAGTCCTGGACACCTCCTGTATAACCTTCGTCCTTTCTCCAGGTTCAAAGGGTTTCCCTAGGCAAGCTATTGTGGAAGCGGATGCCACTCCTGCTTCCAAGCTTGTTTTAATTGGGGAGCTTGACCAAACACTGTCCACAATGGGTAACCATTCTCGCATTTGACTCATCAGTGTCACAGTTTGGCTTCACGGCAACCACGAGTTACCTCTGTACAGCAATTTTAAAAAATTAGTATGAAATTAAATGGAAAGACTATGCTGTAAAAATATATATGTTGCGGGAGCTCTGGTGGCCTAGTGGTAAGGAGCTGCAACTACAATCCCAGAAGCGCACGGTTCGAATCCACCAGATGCTCTGCCGAGGAAGGAGGGACAATCTCCTCCTGTACCAGTCAGATCTGATTTGACGGTACACTCACACAAAAACAATAAAATAAAAAAA